GAAATTGGGAGTCTTAGGAAAAGCCTTATAGCTTTCGAGTGAAACGATTTAGAAATGTCGACTTTGCATAGATTGACAGAGAATAATTTTTCCTATCGATTAGTTCTATTAGGAGTCTAAATTAAGAGAGAAATAGCTTCAGAGTGTCTCTTATGAAAACCTCCATCAAGGACTTATCTGATTGGTCAATCAAATTTTGATGGCTTCAAATCTTTTCTCTTGAATGGTGAAAACTACAGTTCTCTATGATGTACTTATCAAAATCTAGGTCTAAATCCAGAAGTTTAGCTTTTCTAGGGTCCGAATCCGCAAAAACATGGACTTGCAGTTACCTGCATATTCACGAAATTCGTCATATACTTTAATTATATACCCAACTCACTACTTGAGAATTAAAAGTTTTTATTTAGGAAGAAATCAGCATGAACCTACATTTCTCAAATCGTAAATACCAGACAGTTTTTAGCGGTAAACCGCGGTATTTATCAAAACCGTCGGTTTTCATCATATGGGTTTCTATCTCAAGATTATTCATTGTTCTAAAACGTGTCCTAAATCAAACGTCATAGATATTATTTCACATGTAAATGAAGACAAAATCACGAAATAAATGACATATTAGAAAGTATCCTACTTCTATAACTGCATTTTCAATTAAATTTGTTACTGGAGTATTTGATGGATTAGTTAATTTAAGTTCATTTTTACCACGTGTTACACCAGCAGCAAAATCTCGTCTTGTTTGAAGTTCAACAAAACTCTAAAACAAATAAACAAATAAATTAGTAAATGCTTGTTTTTTTCCTATTTTAAATTCATTAAATAACATTACAAGATCATAATCAAATGGTTTTTTTTCAAAACGAAGTAAACATTCTGTCCAAATAAATTGACGAAGTGAAATTGGTAATTGTTGACCAAATAATTTTTCTGTTATAAATACAACACGACGAGGATCACGTTTAAGTATTGCAACAACTGAACTTGATACAATATCACTATATTGTGATGTCATTGGATAAGGCATATATTGTAATTCTATTGAAAAACAAATAGATTATTCATATCATTTTTTGATAAACAAAAATTAGTATAATAGATGAAGACTAAATTAAACAGACATTTACCTATCTGATATAGTTAAAGATAGGCTAATAGCAAAGCCAGATGGAAACTCCGTGGAGCCCATCAGGTCCTGGTTCGGCATATAAAATTGTTTGGGCTCGTACCCAGTAGACACAAAACTTTCAAACCTGGATTCAGTCGAGTCCGAGCTCAGGTAGGATCCAATGGGCTCCAGAGTGCCCATTCTCTCCTAGACAGCTTTGATCTCTTCCCTCCTGCAACTTTTTACTGTTTAGATCACTAGGACAGTCATCGGTTATTAAAATGGTGACTAGCAATAGTTGGCAATCATAATCAGTCTTATATATGATAAAACTTATTTCCATTTTGATTTCACTTTGATGAGAAATTTGTAAACATAACCTTTAAACTATATCTTAACGCATGTTGCAAAAGTCTTTGCACAAAACATTTTCTCAATCTCCGATCACTTAAAAGTAATTAACAAGAATCAGAAGTAATTAGAAAGATTCAAAATTTTGTGCTCTTTTCAAATATGGGTTCAGAAATTTTGTGTCTATTTTTGTTCCAGAGTAGTGAGGAAAACTTTGAAAGACTCTAAAAAGGTAGTTTGGACAAAATAGATGGACTGAAGTTTCTGGACATAATATTTGTTCATTTCTGATCTACTTGAACGTATTTTACACGAGTGAAAAACCACTTGTTCCAACCAGAATCCTATGATCTTTCTGAATATAGACTCAGAAATTATGTATCTATTTTTATTCGATAGAAGTGAAGGAATCTTTGAAAAGCCTAAAAATTGGTTTGGATATGACGAATAAACAGGTGTTTACTAACTCCTATAAGTTTCTTTGTGAGGATGCTAAAATTTGTCATAGTCAATAGTTTTGTAGAGCAAACACTTCTGTACAAAATATGATACCGTACTAAACTATAGCTTGGAGCTATAAGCATTTTCTCAAGAACTGTCTTTATATGTATAACGTGCTTTTGTCAAAAAATCGATTTTTCAAAAATGAAGATGATGGAAAAAACGAAATTTTAGTTATCTGATTGGTAGTCCAAAAGAAAGTACAAGAGTATGTTTTGTAGGGTAAATTTTACTCTATAAGTTGATATATCAACAAAAGTTCCAACTTTTAGTTTTGGATTCTAAAAGCGAAAATGTACGATTTCTGACCTATATTCAGAAAAAGGACAAAATTTCAAGTTCTGATAACTGCTTTTACATCTCACTAATTGCTTTTAAATGATCGAAAAACCAGCGACTATGTTGTACAAAGACTTTTGCAACAGAGGTTATGTTCAAATCTCTGTAGAGGATATTTGAAATAATTTAATCGTTGCTGTGTGATAGTTGTTAACATGAGTAAAGTTCTTAGAAGGCCTATGTTGTTGCAAGCATTAATCAAACACTTCAATACATTAAACAAGAGTAAAATATAACATCTAATCAAGAGCGATTGTTCATGATCAACAAATTCATTTTTTATTTTAAAACATTTGTTTTTAATACAGAAGGTCATCCGAGAAAATTGAAACTTCAAATGCCGCAATAAAACGAACTACGAAGTTAATGTAGTGTCGGTCGTGAATTTTTGGCGAGAGAAGTCCTGACACTAATGATTCGAGACTCCCTAGAAGAATCCCGGAGGAGTCCCTGGAGAAGTTAAGAGGGGATTCAGGGACTCCCCAGCAAATTGATGAGTATTATTAAGGTCTCTCCAGAAGCCACCATTAGAATTCTCTGAAAAATTCAAATTTATGAAAATTTTAAAGGGACTCCCTAAAATCTGAGAACTCTCCAAGGAGTTTTAGGGGATCCTGAGATATGCAACTCCCCCGAGGGCTCACGAAAGGGATTTCACATTTTTTAGGAGACTCCCCGATGATTTCGTTTGGGAGAGTCGACTAGGGCTACATGCATTATGTATATTTAAATAAGCTATTAATATCTTGAAAAGAGTTCGTACCCTTAGCTTATTGCAACGAAAATACTGCATTTTTATGGTATTTTTTAAATAAATGTCGTGACCCAGAAAAACTAAATTTTGAATTTCGACTTGAAAATTTGCATAGAAATAGGTCTTAACTAGAGTAGTTTATTGTGAAAACTTCAAGCCTTTTGATTTGCTTCTATTCTGAAATAATAATATAAAATCTGCTGATTAACAAGAGCTATGCAAAGGATACACTATTACTATAGGACCTGAAATATTCACAAAAATCTATTCTTATTAAGGCCTATCTCTGTGTAAAGTTTCAAGTCAAATTCAAGGATCAGTTTTTCTGAGGGAATCACGGCATCTATATAAAAAATATCTAAGAAAAAACATCACATTTAAATTTCATACAAACCATCAATCATAGGTAATTTTTTTGAATTTGTTTTTGTATCACGTAAAATTGATCGAAGTTTTGTACCACCAGTTAATTCATCTTGATGTTTTTTCTTATTTAATTCTTGTAATTTTTGTTCTTCTTGTTTAAGACTTTCTTTTTGTTGTACTTGATATAAATAACGTTCAAGTGATTTACGTACTATTTGATATGTATATTCAAGAAAATTTTTCATATCATTTGATAAATGATTTATACTATAGAACATTTTTTTTTTTGATCTTTATATAATTTAATTAATTTCTATACTTACTCTTCATCTTCAGTTACAGCTAAATAGAAAAATAAAATCATAATAATATTAAATAAAAAACAAAAAACAAAAAAAAATATGAATCTTAATTTAAATACCTGCGCCTATTTCAAGTGCTGATTTATGTGTTTGAATTTGTAACCATGATTTAGCTTCATTTTCAAGTTTACGTCGATGTTCTTCAGCCATAATAGGTGGAAGCTATATGATATAGGAGGAAATCATTTAATTCAAAATTTTAAAGATAAGCTACTAACTATAATATGTGGTGTATCGGGTTCGGATCGAAATAATTTCCATTGAAATAATTTTCCAAGTAATTCAATAAGTATTTGACGACGTTCAGGATTATTAAATTGTTGACGTGCTTTATTAGCTAAAGCTGGTTCAAGATCATCGAGAATCTTTTATTAAATGAAATTTAAAAAAAAATAATAATAAACAAAATAAATATTTTAATTTAAAAAAAAAAATTTACTTTTTGCCATGGACTATCAGGTAAACATGTTTGTTGATAACTTGAATCAAGCCATTGAATATTAAATGGAAGATGTTTTAAATTTTCTTCTTCTTGATTTACTGTTGATTTTTGATCAGTTGTATTATCACTCATTATTGTTGTTATTTTTTTCTTTTCAATTTTAATGATACTAATATATCAGATGTATGACATAATGATTCACATAGAATAATAAATTTAATAAAAAAAAGAGAAGACCACTTAGGACAACAATCAAAAGTAACTTGTAAAAAGTTAATATTGAAGAACTTCCGTTACTATGACAACAAGTTGAAAAAACATGAAATATAGCGTTATATTTATATCTCGATAGAATCAATGACAGATATATAATGACATTAAAACAATTTTTTTTTCTTGTTCTGTCATAATTAATATTTTGAATTTTAAATATTTTTATATAGTCATGAGATTTTATTGGTAGTTTCATTTACCAACAATATAATTTCTTTAAAAGCACTTGAATTTATTTTCAATTGAAAACATTTTTTTTTGCGTTATATAAAAATGTGAAAAGTAAAACAAACAGAAATAGAAATATTTTTTTTTTTGCTACAGTTACACCAAAGAAGTTGGTACATATTGCTTCGTTGAATTTATTTTTTTTTTATTAAAATTATAAAATATATAAGCATTATGAGCTGTAGATATATGCAAGAAAAGAAAGAACATATTTATGGAATGATACAATTCTTACAGAAAAATAAATAAATAAACATCAATCACCGGTAGAATACATTAGAGATGTTCATCGGTAATAGTATCGTTGAATGATAAATTCGAATAACCATATTGTTCAGGATCAATGTCAATGATCGTTGGTTTTTTATTTAATTGTTCTTGTACATTAATATCAATCAATTGAGAATTTGATGATATTTCAGAATTGGTCACTATTGAACGTTGTTTACTTTTCGATTTTGTTTTAAATGGAGCATTTGTAAAGACGTCTGTTGATTGATTATTAAGAACATTTGAAGCAAAAGATTCCGAATGAGGAACTTTCTCTATTGAACTACCGGGATCATATTTTATGTCAATAACTAAAACAAATACATAGAAAAAAAATGAATCGAAAATTCGGTGTTTTTTTTTTGTGCTATATAAGATTAGAAAACTATTATTTGACAAAAAAACAAACATCAATAAGATATTTACCATGGTTGTCTGAATTTATTTCTCGTTTTTGATAAGGAGCAAAGGCACTTGTTCGTTTTCCAACAACGATACTGTTCAAATCACATGAAGTTGAATTAGTTGATGAAGATGTTGATGTTTGTTTATTTGATGAATGATGAAAAGGTGCACAAAGAAATGGATTATTATTATTATCAATCAAAGATGAATTTATTAGATTGTTATGTTTATTTAATGTTGAAGAATGATAAATTAAGTCTATTTTTTGATCTAAATAAATAATAAAAGTTATTAACGTAATCCATACGAGATTAATATATAAAATACTCAACAACAAGCAATTGTATACTGACAAGTGAACTACTCGAGGTGATATTTCACTTTTGAGAGGAGACCGTAGTCATTACGTAGAACCTGTTGAGACTAGAAGACTTCTTGGAATTATGACTGTTAGGTTGGGTTTTTTACCTTTATCATAGTATGCATAAAAAACCGGACAAACAAATTTTGTCCATAGACAATTCTTGAAGTCATTAGAATCTCATAAAAATTTCAGTCAAAAACAGTGGTCTTTTCTCGAAATATAAAAACTAGGTTTTCTATCCTTTTAGAAGAATATCATGGTTTTTCTTCTCAATGAGCAAAATTTGTTTGCCTGGTGTTTTTTTTTGAAATACCTTGCTAAAGGTAAAAATCCATTGTAACAGCAATCAGCGTATGAGGAAGATTTCTTCTAATCTCAACAGGCTCTATGTAATGACTGCGGTAGTGTCTCAAACGCGGCACACCATCTCGGGTAGTTCTCTCATTAACGAAATTTATCGAATTTTAGATGCAGAAAGACACCAAATAAATCGCTTGTTTTGTGGAATTTGAGGTGATCTCTTTTTTATTCTTAAACTTCAATATTTCATTTTACATACTTATTTCTTGTTCATCATCAGAATCTTTATTAATAACTTGAAAAAAATTATTTTTAGTATTATTATTATTGAGATTGTTTTCGTTCGATGTTTGATTAATTGAATGTTCGATTAATTGGGATTCAATAAAATTTTTATTATTTGTATTCGAAAATGAAATGTCTTTTTCAGCCTCCTCCGTCGATGGATGATGATGATGACTTGTAGATTTAGTTGTTATTGGTAATTGAGATTTTTTCTTGATATTCTATAAAAGTAATAAAAAAAAAAATATCGATTGAAAAAAAGTTGATTAATTCAAATAAAAATAGAAAAAAGAAAGATGAAATAATTTTCAAATATATTTAATAGATATTAATTTTTGTTGAAAATAATTTATTTATTGTACTAATATTAAGTTCTTCTCTTTTTATTCAATAGAAACTTACTCGATTTGATTTATCATCTGAATTTAATTGAGAATTAATTATTGAAGAATTTTTAAGTTTTAATTTATTTAAATTTGTTTTTAATGGATTTATATCATCATCATCGAATACTTCATCTTCATTAGAAGAATCAACGGAGGAGGCTTTGTGAAAAGAAGATTGGATATTCGTTGGACTTGTTGTTTGAGATGCACTACGTCGATGTGTTTGAATATTAGAAGATGGCGGGGGTGGAAGGAAATGTTGTTGTTGTAAAGTAAGACCAGATGCTGTTGAAACTATTTCTGATGGTAATGGTCGAGCACGAGGTATAATTTTTTCATTTTTAGCTGTTGTTGTTGTTGTTGTTGTTGTTGTTGCTGCTGTTACATTTGGAATATTAGTTAAACTAATTGCATGTGATGGAATTTGTGAAAAATCATCGTCAAAAAACATTAATTGAGTAGCTGAACCTGATCGAGATGAATTTGTTGATGGATTTGGTGGAGCAATTGTAGTTGATGATTGTTGACTTGGTTGATCAAAATTAATTAATGATGTTGATGGTGTCATCATACCACGTGGACGTTCACGTGGATTAACTGCTGTACCAAGAGATAAAAATTCATCAGTTATATTTTTTGATGTTGTTTTTGTTTTTGATAAAGCAGTTGTTCGTTGATGACGATATTCACTATCAGTTAATGGCATTGAAATTATATTTAAATTAGGAATTTTTGATTGACATCGATTTGAAATAGGACATTCACTACCAAGTAATTTATATGTAATATAGGATACCTAATAAAAATAGATTAAATTTATGGAGTTTTAAAAAAGAAAAAATGTTAAAATTTGTTTGTTTTTTTTGTTTTTGAGAATTTAAAAGTCATGAGAAAAAGAAGGACTATGTATCGGGACTGAAGGTAGAAGTAGCACGAGTACAACAAGTAAAAGTATTTTACTACGTAGATGAAATTTGCCAAAGATTTGAGTAAAAGTAGCTAGGATTCGCATACGAGTCTGTTCCGACTAGTGTTCTAAGTACAACGCGACGAGCTCTATCCAATGGTATGTTCAGATTTTTCATAGCTCAAAGTATGATTTTTGGGACCATAGATGGCGCTATGAAAACGTGAAACCGTAGTTTGAACTATGAAAAATTTTGAACATACCATTGGATAGAGCTTGTCGAGTTGCACTTGGAACAGTTTCTGGACGAATCCTAGCTGCTTTTACTCGAATCTTTGACTAACTTCATCTACGTATGTTGAGAATGAAAATCTCCTTTAATAGAAACTTATAGAGTCATCTCATCTATTCATTCTAAATTGAACATTTTTCATTTCTCATGCAATACGTTGGAAATATAAATAAATCTTTCATATAAAAGAGTGTTAGGTTTTCAAAAATAAGCAGAAGCCCGAAATTTGTTTTAATTTTTTATTATGTTCGTATATATTTTAATAGACAATTGAACTACTTAACAGGATACACTTTAATATTTAAAACATCCTTCGTTGATAGTAACAGTGAAATATCCAGAAAGATACATTGCTTCCTATTGCCAGTAAAAGGACGAAGTACAGATACTTTCGTCCAAACTCTGATTAAAACAATCCAAACTTCTTGCTTTTCACATGTTCCAAAAGAAAAATGATGAACTTTTTTTTTCTCGATAAAAATATATCATTGATTTATTATACATCCACACCCTTTGTGAATCTGAACCCGGTCGAGTCTAGATTCGGGTTTTTACAAAACTTTTCTCTAGCTAGAAAAAGGTTCTTCAAAACAAATATTGTAAGAAAATTCTTTTGAAATAATATTCATGTTTATTATTATAAAAATGAAAATATTTTCTAACCTGCCATATATCTGGTCTTTTATCAATATCAATTTCTAACATATATCGAACAAATAAATTCAATTCTCGACTATAATTTTGTGCCATATCATCAGGTATAACAAATGTTCCATTTTGTATAGCTAAAATACTATCACCAAATGGCATTATATTATACATAAGTTTATATAAAAGACAACCCATAGCCCAAATATCAATTTTAAGTGTAAGTGGTAAACGACTATATAAATCAATCATTTCAGGTGCACGATAAGATAATGTTGTATAACGTTGAATTTCTTCTTCAAGTTGTTGAATAATATTTGTTGTTAATTCATTTTTTTGATATTGTCGATGATCATTTGTTGTTGAAGATGGTAGCATAATAGCTGAACCAAAATCACAGAGAACATAATTTTGTTGAGAATCAGTAAGAATATTTTCTAATTTAATATCACGATGTAATATTGGTTGAGGACGACGAAAATGACATGCACTTATAGCAAGACAAATATCAGCAAATATACGTAAAATTTGACGTTCATTTAATGTTATACCAACATTACGTTGTTCATTTAGACGAGTCTAAAATACAAAAAAAATTAAATTTAAATAATATAAAAGATTTATTTCTTTATGTTTGAATATTTGTAACTACATTGATATAATTTACAATAGCTAAAATTACTAGCAGAAAACTTACGACGAGAATAACACAACAGTGAAAATCTTTATGAAACATGTAAAGAATCAAATTGTATCAAAAAATTTTGGTTGGAATTTTCTCCAGATTTGAAAACTTTGGTTGGTCAATGTTCTCTAATTGTTGAGATCTTTTAACTTAAGCTCAAAAATTTTTTGACTCTTGCTCCGACTCCTTGGCGTCGCTCCTATACCTACAGTAGTCATTAACAAAGTCTATTAGGTTCAAGATTTTCGAATCCGAAACCAATCCGACGAGTCATAGTCGTCAATGGTTCTGTTATCAGATAAAAACTATCTAAACGTGAATCCTTTGTTCTCATATTTCGGTTGCAACAAGAGCACAATAATAAATCTTGATAACAAGTAGTCATGCGAAGAAACTAGAAAGTCAATGTAGATTTTCTATTCAGACAGGGATATTTCAGCACAAGTAACAAATCTTACAGCATGGTTCTCGATTATGAGGAATGGAGGCTTCCCCTCTCCCCCTAAAATATTCAACATTCTGATAATTTTTTACAACTTCGTGGTAACTTTGAACAGCAACCAAACTTTGAAACACCTTTTACTTTTCTCTAGAAAATAAGGAGACTATGTCGTTGCAAAGAGAAGAACAAGTCGTCTGTTGTGGATTTTATTCTTCCTCTTCCTCTGAGTCATCACTTTTACCATTCCGAGAATGATGAGCACTTTCTACTGAATTTTTAACTCCCTTCACCATCTCTAGAAAATATCGACAATCCTGTTTTAAAGTTATTTCTGGATATTCTTAGTATGACAATTGATGAGATTGATCAAAAATAAGTCTGTAATTTCAATAATTTTCAAACATCTCTCTTGAAATTTTCTCCGATGAGTTCTCTGCTCTGATCAATTCTTTCCCAAGAAATTTCATGATTGTAGCTATTACTAGAGCACAGATCATTGCAGATAAAATAAACATTGTTACGCCTCACGATCACAATAGATTAGAGTCTGGCGACTACATTGTATCTCCAATTTATTAACTAAATTTTTTTTTCTTTTGATTACTTACAATTAATGCTCCATTTGAACAATATTCAGTTAATAAAAATATTTCATAAATAGCATCATCATCATCATTATTATTATTTTCATTATATGCTGTATAATAATGACGTGTTTGTATATTTGTTGATGATAAACGTTGTATAGATGAATCAACATATTTAACAATATTTGGATGTGATGAAAATTCTTTTATTATAGATATTTCACGTTGACAAACATGTAAATCACGTTGATTATTAACATACATACGTTTAAGTGCATATCGTTGTTGATTAAATGAACGAACAAGAAAAACAAAAGCAAAACCACCTTGTCCAAGTATATCTTCAACAATAAATTGATTATAATTAATTGTTAAAATTTTTCCTATATATGATTGTATATCTGTAATATTTGTCGATGATTGATTTGTCTCATATGTTGATGATTGATTATATACAGGACGTATATGTACTTTTTGTGAACGTATCATTGACTAAGCAGTGCTTAGTTCATTATATTTGTAAATTTTTTTACATCTAGAAGAAGATCGTGTTTATTTTTGCTATACATATATTTAAAATTTGTATATATGATAAAGTTCTGTTTTGTTTTTTTTTTTGTAAAGGATGAAAAGGAAGATAGAAGAAAAAAAATACAATAAACGAGAATGATCGGACTGAGATAATTATTTCATGTTTTATGAATTTGTTGATGAAGCTGATGCTGCTGTTGCTTGAGCCTCTTGATTGTTAGTATTATTATTATTGTCATTAGTATTATTATTATTATTATTATTATTATTATTATTATTGTTTGATGTTGATGGTGATGATTTATCAATTGATTTTTTTTTCTCATCATCATCATTATCATCATTTAATTTTAAATCATTTGTTATTTGATCAGCCATTATAGATTCTTCAACTAATTTACGTACTTTTGATTCATATAATCGACGATTTTCTAAAAATAATTTAGCTGCTTCATTATTAGCTGGAGAGTTTGGATTTGGATCATTTAATAATGAACGAATTGATGTTAATATAGCACATACATCATATGTTGGACTCCAATTTCGTTGTAATATATCCAAACATATACTACCATCAGCATAAACTAAAATGTTATTATTTTTTTGTTTTTTAATAGATAAGTTGACATTAAAAGATAAAAATTATTTATTTTATATTAAATAAAAGAATCGACAATATATTATAGAAATATACAAGCTATAGAAAATTATCTCACTTAAAATCATAATTTGTTCTTTTTTTAAAGATGAATATATTACAGAAAAAAATTATTTAAAAATAAAAGCTAAAGAATAAAGTCTTTTATTGATAATAAATGAATTAAAATATTGATAAATATAATTCAAGTATAGAAATATTATGGAAAATTTTCAATAAAAATAATAGATGTTGTTATCAGAAGAAGTAATCAACAATTGAAAAATGATTTTTGATTTATTTATCTATTTAGTTTAGTTACTATTGATTACTTTTAATCGTTTATTAAAACTATACATAATGTAATGAATTATAATCAGAATAATAGTTTTATAAAACAAAGTATACATCGAATAAAAGCGTATCTTATCATGAGCAAATTAAATTTATTTTGTACCTTCAATATTGTTCATATTCATGCATTATCTTCTTATTATTATAGAAACTTTATTTATGATATTTTTCTTTTTCTCCTTTGCACTTACCATTTGGATGAAACATTTTACAAGTAAATCGAACATTAGGTGGTGTTAATGGATAGGTATCTGTAAAATAAAAAATAATTTATCTTTCATATAATTTTTTTTTCTTTTTTATTGTTTCTCATACCTGTGAATTCCATTCGAAGTGTAAATAATCCATCTTCATAGCATGTATCAGCTGGTCCATCGATTAAAGCATTCCATACACGCATATCATTATCAACGGGAGTTGCATTGATACCTATTCAAATAAAAAAAAGAAAGAATATATACGAATAGAGTTTCTTTTTTATTGTAGAAAATTTTAAATTTAGATTAACCTGGTAATTCTTCACTTTGAATTTTTTGTAAATCTTTAAATAAACGTCGCTGACTGGTATTTGAATTCGACATTTTTACATTCGTTTGATGTTTTTTTTTCTTTTATCTACATAGACAGTATATAAATTTATCCAACAAATAAAAAACCTATACATATGACTTGTGTAGGCGAGAGAGAGAGAGAGAAAAAAAAACAATATAATAGTTGTACAACCAACTGACAAATGTCATTACATAAACTTTTAGCAATAAGTCAATTTATTGTAATATGATGCTAGTGATCGATGAGAAATATAATAAAAAAATAAATAAAAATTTTCTTATTAATGATAAGTCTGTAGTTTATTAAACGATAGAGATCACTAGATATTGATGTCAATTATGAATGGATGACATGTATGAAGCAATGAAAATAATTCTTACACAAATAAATAAATAATGAACATTATAAGATAAGAGCGATATCTATCATTATTCTTTATACTTTGATTGGTTTTTTTTAAATATCATATTGATTATGAGTAACTACGTCTGAAAACAAAACATCAAAAAACCTTAATTTTTTTTATATGATTAAATGATTATAAGTTCTTTTTCTTTAATTCAATTTATTAATTAAATATGTTTGTAAAAATATTAATACTTAACAGAACAATTATTATAATATGAAATATGAATCATATGTGTATGATTCATAAACTATAATATAAAAGTCATAGTCATAGTGAAATTGATTATCATAAGCAATATAAAACACTTTATCAAAGGCATTCTTGATTGGTTATCAAAATAAAAACGGAATCAGTCAGAAATTAATGAAAAATGACCAGCTTATTATAATAAAATTTTTGCTAGTAGGATTGTTGCTTTTACTTCATTATGAATTTATTTAAGAATAGTAGTTGTGTTTAGATTTTGGTGCATTAACAAAATCTCTATGGTTACCATCTCAGCTAGTAGTATAACTAGGTGATCGTGGGTAAAAACACTCAAGCTCATCCAGAAGACTTGTGGCGACAGTATAGTTTCTTGGAGATTCACTAGCTAGATCCCAACGTGTTTGTGGAAGAGTGTGGATGTGGATGTTTTATTTTTCGCGTTGATATCCCCACACACACACTCAACATGGTAATAAGCCAATTAATCATAATAGAATCTTATATATTCAATAGATCATAGTTGATTTAGACTTTGTTTTCGATTATGAATTGATTCGTTGAAATGGATTAATTCATTGAAAATAAAGCTTATCCTGATTTGGAATCAGATGATGCAAATAGAGTGAAACAAGACGAGAATTAATATTTCGATATATATTCAACAATCTGCATTCTTGAGTTGTTTATTTTTTGTCTTTTCAGTACAAAAATATTTCGAATAATGGAACAGTTGAGAAAAAAATAATTCAACATTTCTTTATTTGTATCACACAACTCTTAATTTAACAGCAACTTTTTTCATAATTGATGAAGTTAAATTAAAATCATCGAACAATGTTGAATTATACAAGTTATTTTATAAGTACCAACGATGATATTATTAAAGAATTCAAAACTATTATTTTCTACATTAAAATATTTGATGGAATTTATTTTGCATTCATCATTAATCTTTACTAAGTTTTTTTCTTTACAAGAATTGAGTTTTATGTTAAAGTATTTAAATGATCTTTCAATTATTATTATTATTATCTTGAAAATGAAATACAAATGTTAGATATATATATATCGTATAACCTTGAAAGACAAGACTTTTTTATCAGCGATTTATCTGAGCGATCAAATTCCTTGACAATAATATATTTACTGAAGGAAAGATTTTTCTTCAAAAAAAAAATTCATACGATGAAACATCGAATGTTTTATTTATTCTTATTGAGAATCATATTACCTATATATATAAGAATTATTTATTTAAAATATTATGAATTTATAATACAAAAAAAAATTGGAAAGCGTAAGTTATAGGATGTTGTATTATCACAATTTAAAATCTTTTCTTTTCGATAATAATGTAATGACAATTTTCTAAAGTTCATTTAAAATCTATACAAAAAAAAGTAACGATTATTAACCATATAAAATATTATCTGTTGGTTTTTCTCGTACTTACATTATTTGTTTTTTTTCTTAAAAACAGAACGTCCTTGTTTTTAAATGTATAATCATTGATTAGAAAAAAAAGCTGATATAAGAATGAAGGTAAAATATGATTAAGAAAAAAAAAATGAATAGACGCACTGTAGGAAGTACATTAAAAAAAAATATTACCATTTATAAATAATAATAAAATCTTGTATTTGCTGTATAATATATAAACTTATCTAATTTGGTATGTTTTTATTTTTCGTTTATGGGTATAAGCATAGATTTGAATAAACGAATTGTTAGACGAATCGATGATAGAGATAAGTATAAGAAAGAAAACATTGATATTGATGTCAATCAGTATTAAGTTTATGTTCCAAATTTATCCGTAACAGAAAAAGTCTTCATAATTCTCTGATTGACAAGAATAAGACAATAGAAAATTGCGTCATCACTTAAAGAATATCTAAGCAGCTCAAATTTGTACTATTTTAGCTGCAAAAATATATATTCCGTTACGAATTGTAATTCTTGTTGTTCTTCACCAGTAAATATATAAAAACTCGATTATTTCATTTTTTTTTCTTTTGTTAAACATACGAAATTTTACTATTGTTAATCTACTCTTAGTAATATATTGTCTTTTTTATTACCTTTTGCTTAATTGTAATAACGATTCTTCTTAGATTGATAATAGTTTATTTAGAAACAAAAATAACAAGAGAAAACAATCTCACATTTACATTTAAATAAAATATGATTTAATTCATTTAACATACTATGTTTTTTCTTCTCTGTTTGTGCACTATAAGATTAGTATGTCCAATTGGGTTGGTTATCTATAGCTAGGGATAGGATATTTTATTTAACGAAACTTAACTAAAGTCATTTTTTAAGTGACTCGACTTAACACTTAATATTAAGTGTTAGGTGGAAACTTTAAAGTTCATTTTAAGTTAAGACAGATAATCGACTCCTATCTATAGCTGTATGCGCAAAACAAAACGGTGAATGTCTAGTTAGCAGACAGACAACAACATATTCTGACTTTACATAGTTTGGGTATGGATGTTTGGATGAAGAGAAGATCAACACCAATACTCACATTCAAACCTACATTCTCAAGAGACGTCCTTATTGCCACAGTGATAGACGCCAAATAAATGTTCACACATTCTTTTACAGTTTCATTGCAATCAATACTCACAATTCTTATCGCATTACTTTATATAAAAAGTAATTGCTGTCGACTACGAGTATTATATGCAAATGCGTAATATATCTCGTTCCGTTTTTATCTCAATTCATGTGCTTTTCGGACAGAAATTATACGTTCTTCAGATGAGTGGAAATCATACATTGAAAATGACATTTATTGCATACAGACTGAATAGTCAATGAAGGTTGCGTCGTTTTTTGATAAAAAGATTTGTCTGCGCTCTATCGCGAATAGAACAAAACAAAATTCATTGTTAAAATTTATTACAACTGCTTTCTCTTTCGTGTTTTCATTGCATTGTCAACGCTTCCATCTCATATGAATTCTGAATCTTCTTTCTTAAAATCTCATAATTAGAAATAAAATGGTGCTAGAAGTTCAAATGGTCCTTACTTCATTATAAGACGACAACTCATGATGGTCGCTCACACCATTTGATAAACATTTTGGCGTAAGACTTCATATTTTTAACTCTATTTTTATTACTCTGACGCGAAATTGAGATATGACTATTCGTCAGACCTACTAAAAGTGCACAATAAGTGAAACAGTTTGATGATTCATCCCTTTATCAGCTTTAATTTCTTATGGAAGCGATCGAAATTCAAAGAAGTCTGTTTTGTTGACTGTTACTGAATGCATACGTTCAGAAAATTAATTTCGATAAGTGACAAAACTCTTAAAACTGTTGTACATGTTTACAGCGTAACTTCGTCCAGCAGCGGCGTAATCAGGATTTTTAGACCAATGGGCAAACTTTTCTTGTATCGAAAAAAAAATCAATGGACGAAATGGGCAAGATTTTTATTGATAGGCCAACACTTTTTGACCCAACAAAGTACTAATAGCGTAAAAAAAAACATTTATAAATTATTCTTCGAATATGTATCGGTGCTGCACACATGAACATTTTCCCTACGAACTACGTCATTTCACACCTTGGTTTTTTTCTTTATGTTTCCACATATACATTATTGGATTTTTCCTTTCTCTTCTATGCGTCACTCTATATGTATATATACCTACATATATATATATATATATATGTTTATGTGTGTTTTCTTGATCTGCGCTTTTGTTTTTCTTCTCTTTGATTTATCCTTCTCTACCTCTACGTGGTTAGTGTTATCCCAATAAAACTGAACTCTTGTTCACACAAACTTACAGTTAAGATCAGAGTTGCCAGATCTTCTGAAAAGTCAGGAAAATTTCTGGAACATTTTTCCGATTTTTTTCTAATTTTCTGATTTGTTGCCGAATTTCAAAATTTTTTGGATGGTGGCTTTACTAGTGAGATTAATTAAAAGTATAACCCATTAATATTATAGATCTGTATTCTGCTATCTTCTTTTCCTTGTTATTCTTTTGCAGTTTCTGAGTTCTGCAGTCACTGATGAGCGCTTTAATATATCAATAAATTTTTGTGTTGTTGAACTTAAGAATGAATGCTAATTATTTTATTTTTGAACAGTTTTGTAAATATATTTTAACTCAAAAACATTTATTGAAGGAATTTTGAACAAAAGAAACCTTGAAAAATAATATAGAATTTATGTTATATAACCTTTATTATGTTTTGTAAGATTTTTTTGATCTACATTGTTTATATATATATATGTGATTTGTTTGCGCATGTTTTTCGTAAACAGAGTTTTGAGCTTCGTAAAAGAATCCGACACTAGGTATATTTTTCTAGCTTGTTTTGTATTAGCTAATAATTGAAGGCAATGTAACGGCAAATTAAAAAGATTGCTCATAGTCGAATC